TCTGTTAGTATGCAGCTTTCACAGTAATGTAAAAAGTTAAAAAAAGAATTCTTTATATGATAATAGCAATAAATGTAAACAGACTTTAGAAGTACTCAACTCACATGGCACTAAATGTGGTGTCTTATGGGAAGAAAGATGTATCTACCTACCAAGAAATTTACTGGGTAGTTTTAATATAAATGATAAGATCAGGGAAGCTAATAAAGACATTGAATGGAAAGCATGTATTATGCCAAACTACTGATCCCAAATCTCTCTTCTCTAGATACCTAGAACAGGAATAGGATCTTTTATTTTCACTGGTACAAGGTGAGGAAGGATCTTTCCCAAGAGACGGTATCCAAGGCCTTTTGATAGATCTCATGATAATATTATTTTATGCAGGATTGTTTGTTCTTTTCACTCCACTGTTGTGTTAGGTGCTGTTCAGTTGTTTCTGTCTCATGGTAACCCTATGTACAACAGAACAAAACACGGTCTATTCCTGGGCCATCCTCACAATCATTGTGATGCTTGAATGCATTGTTGCAACCGCTGTGTCAATTAATCCATCTAATTGATGGTCTTTCCCTTTTTCACTGATCTTCTACATCACCAAGCATGATATCCTTCTCCAGGGAATGGTCCTTTCTAACAACATGAACAAAGTAGGTGAGACAAAGTCTGGCCATTCTTGCTTACAAAGAGCATTCCAGTTGCACTTTTTCAAGAACAGATTTGTTTCTTCTTCTGGCAGCCCATGGTATTTTCACTATTCTTCACCAACACCACTATTCAAAAGCATCAACTCTTCTTTGGTCTTCCTTATTCATTGTTCAGCTTTCATACACATATAAGGTGGCTGAAAAAAACATAGTTTGGGTCAGGCACACCTTAGTCTTCAAAGTGACATCATTGGTGTTTAATACTTCAAAGCAGTCTTTTGTAGCAGATTTGCTCATTGTAATATGTTGTCTCATTTTTCACTACTGCTTCCGTGGGTATTGATTGTGGATCAAATTAAAAGGAAATCTCTGACAACAGCCATGTTTTCTCCATTTACCATGATGCTTTTGGTGCAGTTAAGAGGATTTTTGTGAGGTATAATCCATACTGAACGCTGGAATCTTTGATCTTCGCCAGTAAGTACTTCAAGACATCTTCACTTTCAGCAAGCAAAGGTGTATCATCTGCATATCATAGGTTGCTACTGAGTCTTTCACAAGTCCCGATGATGAGTTCTTCTTCCTATTGTTCAGCTTCTTGGGTTATTCATTTGTCATACAGATTGAATAAGTGTGGTAAAAGGATACAACCCTGATGCACACTTTTCCTGATTTAAAATCATGCAGTGTCTCCTTGTTCTGCTCAAATGACTATCTCTTGGTCTATGCACAGGATCCTCATGAGCACAATTAGGGGTTCCAAAATTCCCATTCTTTGCAATATTCTCAAAATTAGAAGAAACATCTGCAAACAGTCATTGATTTACTCCAAAATCTTAACTAAATTTTTGTGCACAAGATCTCATTTGACAGATAATTTAAATTCAACTTCAAACAAAAAAAGCCACAAAAAAACCTGATAGCAATTGCTCTTAATGATTCTGGGATCTCAATCATGAGTGGTGTGGATCTAGAATTCTGAACAAATTGTGACGTGGTCAACTTGCAAGGTTTAGTCTCACTGTTGACCAAGAGGAGGGACTGTGAGATACCTGAAATATGAAAAACTGTGCACTTTTGAGACCTTCATGACATTATTAGCATACACATGCTTGTTCCTACCCTTCTTCAAAGTCCTATCATGACTGTAACCCCAGATTGTTTAACCTATATTGCTCCACCAGCAGCTGCTAAAGGAGAAGAACAATTATTCACTCCTCTGAGAACTCTTTTGATCAACTATTTCATAAACTAGCTGAGTTTTATCTTTTCTGTTTTTCTAAAGCTGGCTAAAACTTCCTCCATGTTCCCTAAGGCACACTTCTCATATGGAATGTGATCAGCATTTCAAAAGAATCTGATGCTCTGGTTTATTTTATTCCACATTAAAAAAAAGTGCTGTTTTTACAATATATTCATAGTTATTTATAATAATGTTCTTGTTCTCTTTAGTTAGGCCTTCATTTTATAGTTTTAGTATAAAAGTTTCCACACCTCTTGTTAGAATTTTTCCCTAGGTATTTTTTTGTCTTGTTTTGTTTTCTCCTATTGTAAATATTATTTTATTTGTTATTTATTTGCTAGTTGTTTCTTGTTGACATGTAAGAAGTTTTACATATTAATTTTATTCCAAGCCACCTTTCTAAATTCACTTATTAATTATCATAGGCTTTTTTCCCCCACAGGTTGTTTTTTGGGGGTGTTCTCTATAAACAAACATGTTTTCTATTAATAATGAGAGGTTTATTTCATTTTTTTTTTCCAATTCTTAATCTTACTCCCTCTTTGTTTTATTACATTGGTTAAGGTCTCTATTGCACTGTTGGAAGACAGTGCTAATAACTAGCAGTTATATCCTATAGAGGAAGGAAGTTTTCAATATATACCATTAAGTATTATGTTTGTGAAGCTGTGATATTAATAATGTAGTTAGACAATTTCTGCATTCTTTTGGAACACTTTTCTTTAGAAAGGCACAAATATGGATCTCTTCCGATTTGGTTGGCAGGATAGGTGTCTTCCAAATTTCCTGGTATAGACAAGTAAGGAGCTCTCACAGCTCCATCCATTTGTTGAAACATCTCTATGGTGTGGTAATTCAGCTTGTGTGTCAATTTGGCTGGGCCTGGTTGAGTGGCTGGGCAGCTGAAGGTAGTATTTCCCATGATGAGACTGGTAATCAACTCCATGGTGGAATCTACTGTGAGCAGCTGAGTAGCTGTCTTAGGGATATGGTCTGCTTTCCTGTATATAAGGAGAAGCCTTCGGGAATAGTCTCCAGCTTATGTCACACTTGAACCCTGCATGTAGCTGTGCCATTCTTCAGCAGCCTGCCATGCTCTGCCGACCTTGGGACTTTAAATGGATTAAATTAATGGCCTGCCATGTGGTTTGGTAACATCGGGACTATGCCATTTTATTTGTTGACCTTGGTCTTGTTAGCCTCAGCAGCCAATAGCTGCCTGAATGAAGAGATGCCTCTACCTTCCATGGGCCAGGAGCAAGAGACAGAGCTGAAGTCCAAGGTCGAGAGGCTTTCACACAGCCCCTAGAGCCTGGCACTTTGAACTTGGATTTAAAGCCTCCAACTTCTAAGAATAAACTCCTGTTTGTTAAGGCCATCCCATTGGCGGTATATTCTTGTCAGAGGAGTACTAGGTAAGCAGAACAATGGGCATTCCTACAATTCCTAGAACCTTGTTTTTCACCAGTTCCTTCAGTGTACCTTGGACTTCTTCATTCAGTACCATTGGTTCTTGATCATATACTACCTTCTAAAATGATTGGACATTGAGTAATTCTTTTTGGTTCAGTGACTGTGTGTATTCCTTCCAACTTCTTTTGATAATTCCTGCATCATTCAATATTTTTCCCATAGAATCCTTCAAGATTGCAACTCAAGACTTGATTTTTTTCTTCAGTTCTTTCAGCTTGAGAAATGCCAAGTATGTTCTTCCCTTTTGGTTTTATAACTCCAGGTCTTTGCATATTACATTATAATAATTGACTGTCTTCTTGAGCTGATCTTTGAAACATTCTGTTCTGCTCTATTATCTTGTTATTTCTTCCATTTTTGTTGCTGTTGTTGTTGTTATGTGCCATTGAGTTGGACCCAATTCATAGCGACCCTTCCTTGGGTTTCCGAGGCAGTATCACTATGGAAGTAGATTGCCCGACTTTCCTTTGGAGGAGTGGCTAGTGGGTTTGAAACCACCAGGCTTCTGGTTAGCAGTCAAGTACCTTAAGCACTGCACTAGCAGAGCTACTCTCTATTCAAGAGCAAGTTTCAGTGTCTCCTCTGACATCCATTTTTGTCCTCCCTTCCTTTCCTATCTTTTTAATGACCTTTTTCTTTCTTCTTGTATAATTCTTTTTTTTTTTTAACACTGAAAGATAGTTTTATTGACTTTTTAAAAGACAACTGGAAATAAGAATAACTTGTTCAGAAAATCAACTTTCAAAACTGTCTTAAATGAAATAAATATCTAACACAATTTCTTTGTGCAAGAATCTCCAAGATGAGCAATGCTAAAAAAAAAAACCTAAGCTCCTCCTCTGAGAATCCCTAAAACTGGTATACCCTTTAAAAAAATTTTTTTTCTTACAAAGGACATTTGGTACACTCACATTTTCTTAAAATCTTTTCTAAAACAATCTATATTTTTAACACCCAAATATTCTATATATATTAAGTTCACTTAATTTAAAATTAATGAAAAGATATCTAGGCACAATTTCTAATAAAACAATAGAGACAGTAATTTACTGATGGTTATTTACAGAACAAATTTTGCTGAATATGTAAATATTATGGTCAAAATCTGAGAAAACATTTCTAATGATCGGCACTGTAGATTTCAATAAACATTATATATAACAATGAATGTTTTTATGTGCAGTTACTAGATAAATATAAGAACCAGAAACTAAAGCATTTGACAAGGTTAATAATTTCAGATTTATTATACTAAATGGCAGGTCAGAAATCAGTGGCACTTACATGCTGGAAGACTGTTTATCACTCAACTCTTTCAATTACATCAAACACTGATTAACCAAATGTGATGGGATTTTACTGCTATCAACTTTATGGTTATTCCAAACATATGCAAGTCTTTTAAATTAGCACATACGCCAATGTGCAAAACAAATGAAATATAAATATTTAAGAAAACGAACAGAAATGGCTTTTAAGAATAAACCACCCTGCCATTCAATTTTGAAGCTGTATCTTTTCTTCACTAATTTTTCTCCTGTTATTAGAAGTCTTCTATCCTATTAAAGTTGTAAGCTTATAGATCATCTGGAAATTTCACATTGGTATAGGTAAGGAATGTCTGGTCGATGCAGTGTTTATAATAAAAAGAAATATCTTGTTCTATGAGCAGCTGCCATACTCTCAGACATGTTTCTCACTTTTAGATAATTAACAAATCCTTTGAAGAAAAGGAGAAGGCCAAGTACAAGAAATATCCACCAAAGCCAATACTGCCCATTGAAATATCCAGTAAAATAATCAGAAAACCTGACAATAAGGATCCATTTGATCAATGAAAGACCAAATCCACAGATAGCACCATACCTTCCAGCTATGGTATTGGTTATACAGAAGGATAAACAAAATCCAAGCCAGTTGAAAATAAATGCCATGAAAAACGCCAGCATGAAAATGCCATCATTACCCACTCTAAGCTGGTCTGCATCACTGAAGTCATCTCTTGGTGGACACTCTTCCTCCTGAATCGTTTGAGATGTTTCTGCTGCTGCAGCTGCCATTGCAGCGGCTTTAGCCTTCTCAGCTTCATCATATGTAGGAAGAGAGGTAGCAACACTGTAGGGAGGTGGCACAGGATAAAACTCACTGTGAGTTTCTGTATCTGAAGTTGTGGGTACTTCCACAGTAATACTACTGTAAGGTGGAGGAGAAGAGTTGGTTTCAAGTACTGGTGTTGAAGGAGCAGTCTGTACAATCTGTGGGGTTGAGTTTGAAGTTGATGGCTGCTCTACAGCAGATGACTCTAAATTATCGTCTTCATTGTGAAGCACCTGGTAGCGGCCAGTGCTTGGCTGGTGAAGATCCATCCTGCCCGGCTCGGAATCCGGCTTCCGAGTGGACGAGTCCCCCTGGCACTCAACCCTCTCAGCCACCTCTGTCGTCGTCGCCGCCGCCGCAGCGCCCTTTTTCCCTCTGTTTCTGCTCCCGCTGCTGTCGCTCGGCGGGGCTGCTTCACTTCCTGTCGCGCCCGGAGCTGCCGTTGTCTTCTTGTATAATTCTTGATGTCTTCCTACAACTCCTCGGGTCTTTGGTCACTGGTGTTAAATGCATCATATCTATAATTCAGATGGTCTCTAAATTCAGGTGAAATACAACTAAGGTGATATTTTATCTCTCATGGATTTGTTTTAATTGTCAGCTTCAACTCAAACTTATATATGTTAGAACAATTGATGGTCAATTCCACAGTCAGCTTCTGGTCGTGTTCTGTCATCTGATGATACTCAGCTTCTACATTACCTTTTTCCACAGACGTCGTTGATTTGATTTTTGTGTATTCCATCTGACAGGGACCATGAGTATAGTTGCTATTTATATTGTTGCAAAAGAAACAATAGAAATAGAAAGAAGGTTGGACAATCTATTTCTGCAGTAATATTGCTTCAGAAACTGAAGGAAGCGTTGCAATGATTAAATTGTTGGTCTTGCAAAATTCTATCATGCAATCTCCAGAGTCATTTCTATCACCAAGGCAATATTTTCCAAATACAGATGCTTCTTCTTTGTTTCCAATTTCCACATTCCAATCACTAGCAATAATCAATACATCTTGATTGCCTGTTTGGTCAATTTCAGACTGCAGAAGGTGGTTGAAATCTTCAATTTCTTCATCTTTGGCTTTGGTGGTTGGTACATAAATTTGAATAATAGTCTTGTTAACTGGTTTTCCTTGAAGGCATATGGACATTTTCCAATTCTTGTACTTCGGGACAGATTATGAAATGTTCTTTTAGACAATAAATGTGACATTGCTCCTCTTTAATTTGTCATTTCCAGCATAGTAGACCATATGATTTTCTGATTCAAAATGCCCAATACCAGTCCATTTCAGCTCATTAATGTCTAAGATATGGATTTTTATACATTCTGTTTCAATTTTGACAACTTCCAATTTCTCTAGAGTCATATTTTGTGCATTCCACATTCTGATTATCAGTGAATGCTTGTAGCTGTTTCTTTCAATTTTGTGTCATTACCCATCAGCAAATTAAAGTCCTGAAAGTTTTACTCCATCCACTTAAGGAGGCAGCATTTCCCCAGTTGAGTGGCATAGTGCCTAAGGCATTTGACTGATAACCAGAAGAGTGGTGGTTCAAACCTACCAGCCACTCCTCAGAAAGAAGGTTGGGCAATCTATTTCTGCAGTAATATCGCTTCAGAAACCGAAGGAAGGGTCGCTATGAGTTAGACCTGATTAAAAGGCAGTGAGTTAGTTAGTTAGTTACTGAGCCCAGGGCCTCATCTTCCAGCAGTGAATCAGACAATATTTCTAGGCTTTTCCCACTATTTTTCAGTAATACCTCACACAATGTTTCAATGCTAATCATAAGGTTTTCAATGGCCAGTTCTTTCAAAAGTGGATGGCCCATCCTACTTCCCAGTCTGTCTCAGTCTGGAAACTCCACTCATACTTGTCCATCATGGGTGACCCTGTGGATATTAGAAATATGAGTAACAAATCTTCCAGCCTCACAGCAACATGCAAGCCACCACAATCAGACAAACTGACAGATGAGTGGTGGAATGTTTGTGATAAGTTTACTTATTTTGAATAAATATTTTTTCTAAACTATTTTATCAGAAATAGACTCTGAATTGTATAAATGCTTTTTTCAGTGTCCATCAAGATGTTCTAATGATTTGCTCTTTTCTACTTATTAATGTGATTTTTTAGAACATCTTTATGTGTTTGGAATAACACTATTTAAAGAAGAAGTGTCAATCTTTCTATATTTAATTGAATTTGATAAACATTTGATAGAATTTTGGGGCCTATGTTAATGAGAGAAATTTGTTTATAATTTTCCTTTCTTCAAATAAAGTTGCAAATTTTTGTTACTATCTTAAATTCAATTCTAAAAATAAGATGGCAGATATTTTCTCTCTCACTTTTTTTTTTTTATTGTGATTTGGGTGAAAATTTACACAGCAAATTCACTTTCCATACAACAGTTCACATACACTTTGTTTCATGACATTGACTACAATTTACCCCAATGCAACAGCTGTCCACCCACTTCCTCCCAATAGTTACTTTTTCCCTGTGCCCATCTCTCCAAGCACTACTGCCCCCTTAGCTGGCCCCCTGTGCATAAATAGCCCTTCTTTCTCCCATGATTGATTTCTCCGAGGAGTGTATCTACATCAGGTAAATGTTCAACTCATATGCCTGTCGTTTGTTTGGCTGGAAGCCACAGGTGTGAGTTCAATTCCAGACCTGAAGGGAAGCTAGGGGCCATAGTCTCAAGGGTTCAACCAGGCTCTATCAGACCAGCAAATCTGGTCCCACTTTTTTTCCCAAATGATTTTGAGTTTTGTTCCACATTGTTCTCCCACTCTATCCAGGATATCCTACATATATATATGCGTCCGAGTGGTTGACAGTGGTAGCTGGGCACCTTCTAGTTCTTCTGCTCTCATTGTCATATAGGCTGTGGATTGCATAGTGTACAAGTCACCAGGACTAACTGTTTCCATGAATCTTTGGTTCTCTTCATTCTTCTTTGCTCTGGATGAGGAGAGACCCATTGTTGCATATAGATGGCTGCTTGCAAGCTTTTAAGATCCCAGTCATTACTCACCTAAGTAGGAGGTAAAACAATATTTTGTGTAGTATGGTATGCCAATTGAGCTTGATGTCCCCTGTGACTATTGTCCTGAGCCCACCGGTTCAACTACTCGGTCACTCTGGGTAACAGACTGTGACCAAGAAGTGACTATAACCTTGTCCTTTGTCAGCTCTACTATACACCTGGGAATTCTTACAGATCATACAAATACACTTATAGGACCATTGCCTACCAACCCCATACATGGTGTTGGGGACAATCCCCACTTCATAGACATAACTAATACTTCAGCCTGTCCACCCATCTATCCACCCATATACCCATGTTTGCCTTCACTGACAAGGCAGTACTGTATGTGGAAAAGGGTTCATCTTTGTTGTCTTCATCTCCCATATACCTCTCTATGTCTTCTTCTTCCTCAATGCTACCATGTTGATCACTCACATTCGATACATTGCCCTTCTCTTCACCCAAATCAATACTTATCTCTACATATCTAATAGTGTTCCCTCCCCTCCCCTCCCACCTCTGGTAACCAACAAACAAAATTTCCTTGCATAGATAAGTCTTTCCTTGACTTTAAAATAACAGACTAATACAATATTTGTCCTTCTGTGATTGACTTATTTCACTCAGCATAATGTCCTCCAAGTTCATTCATCTTATGCAGTATTTTGCAGATTTTACGTTATCCTTTAGGGTTGCGTAGTATTCCATTGTGTGTATAGCTTGTTTATACATTCCTCAGTTAATGGACACTTAGGTTGTTTCCACCTTTTGGATATTGTAAATAGTGCTGCGATGAACATGGGTGTGCATATGTCTGTTCTTGTCATGGCTCTCATGTCTTTAGGATATATAGCTAGTAATGGAATGGCTGGGTCAAATGGCATTTCTAATTCCAACTTTTAAGGAGTCACCATACTGTTTTCCACAGTGGTTGTACCATTTTACAGTCCCACCAGCAATGTATGAGAGTCGCAATCTCTCCACATCCTCACCAGCATTTGTTATTTTGTGTCTTTTGAACTTTGCTACCAGTGCTGGGGCAATATGGTATCTCATTGTTGTTTTGATTTGCACTTCTTTAATGGCTAATGATTGTGAACATTTCTTCATATGTGTGTTGGCCACCTGTATATCCTCCTTGGTGAAGTGTCTATTCATGTCTTCTGCCCATTTTTAAATTGGATTGTTTGTCTTTTTGTTATTGAGGTATTGGAGTTTTCTATAAATTCTAGAGATATGTCCCTTGTCAGATATGTCATTACCAAATATTTTTTTCTCAATGTGTAGGTTGTCTTTTGACTCTTTTGGAGAAGTATTTGGAAGCACATAAACATTTCATTTTTAGAAGGCCCCATTCATCTAGTTTCTCTTCCACTGTTTGTGCATTTTGGGTTATGCTTGATAGTCTATTTATGCCATATATTAATGTCCCTAAATTTGTCTCTAGTTTTTCTTTGAGGAAATTTATAGTTTTAGGTTTCACATTTAAGTCTTTGATCCATCTGGAGTTTGTTTTTTTGTATGGTGTGAGGTACAGACCTTCCCTCATTTTTTTCTGCAAATGGATATCCAGTTTTGCCGGCACCATTTATTAAATAAATGTTCTTTTCCCTATTTAATGGGTTTTGGCCTTTGTCAAAAATCAGCTGACCATAGGTCAAAGGATCTATTTCTGGATTCTCAATTCTATTCCATTGATCTATGTGTCTGTCATTGTACCAATACCAGGCAGTTTTGACTACTGTGGCTGTATAGTAGGTTTTGAGATCCGGCAGTGTGAGACCTCCTACTTTGTTCTTCTTCAATAGTGCTTTACTCCTCTGAGGTCTCTTTCTTTTCCATAGAAAGTAAGTGATTGGTTTTTCCATATCCTTAAAAAAATATTGATGGGATCTGGATTGGGATTGCATTGAATGTATAGATCGCTTTGGGTAGAATTGACTTTTTCACAATGTTCAATCTTCCTATCCACGAGCATGAGATGTACTTCCATTTATGTAGATCCCTTATGGTTTCTTGAAGCAGTTTTTTATAGTTTTCTTTGTACAGGTCATTTGTGTCCCTGGTAAGATTTATTCCCAAGTATTTTTTTTTCTTTTTTTTTTTGGAGTCATTGTAAATGGTAGGATCTCTGGTAGCACAGTTCTTAAGGCACTTGACTGCTAACCAGAAGGCTGGCTGTTCAAACCCACCAGCCACTCCTCGGAAGGAAGGCTGGACAATCTACTTTCATAGTGATACTGTCTTGGCAATCCAAGGAGTGGTCGCTATGAGTCAGGGCCAACTCAACGGCACACAACAGCAACAATAATGTTGTAAATGGTATCAATTTCCTTATTTCTTTTTCAGCAATCTCTTTGCTGGTGTAGAGGAATCCAATTGATATTTGGATG